GTTAGGTCCATACCATTTCTGTCCTTTGTTGTGCCCATCTTTGCATGAAATGTTCCTTTGGTATCTATAATTTTCTTGAAGAGATCTCTAGTCTTTCCCATTCTATTGTTTTCTTCTATTTTTTTTTTTTGTATTGTTCACTTAAGAAAGCTTTCTTCTCTCTCCTTGCTGTTCTCTGAAACTCTGCATTCAGATGGGTATGTTTTCTTTTTCTGCTTTGTCTTTCACTTCTCTTAGTGACTAAGCAAAAACAAATTGACCATTATAACAAAAATATTGGGAAAGCAATCAGACTGTAATCAATTTAATTACATAAAAAATCTAGGTTAATATTGAATAAACCAGGAATGTATTGCTTCTCAGGTTGTGCTAGGGATACAGAACCCACCTGCCAATGCAGGAGACACAGGACAGTCGGGTTGGATCCCTGGGTTGGAAAGATTCCCTGGAGAAGGAACAGGCAAGCCACTCCAGTATTCTTGCCTGGGAAATCCCATGGACAGAAGAGCCTGGAGTCCATGGGTCACAATGAGTAGGACGTGACTAAGCACATGTGTATGTGTGCATGCATACACACACATACACACACACACACACACACACACAGAGAGGAATGTATTTATAACAGATGTTTCTGTAATTAGCACAACTTTCCTGGAGAATAATGAGGTGGGATGTAGCATGGACTTTAAATATGTTCGTGCATAGTGGCTTTATTATGTGTTCCTTTGAGTCTTCAAAGTTTTGTATTGTTTTGTTTAAATTTCAGAATAATTTTCTTACCTTACTTTTTTATAAAAATAAAGAGAAAAAGGAAGTAAATAGCCTCCATAATCCAGATGGTGGTAACTGCATAAATATGGATATAGTACTTAGGATACACTGAAGTGTTTCTAACGATAATAATGAAAGTAAGCACTGTCTATTGTACATTTGCTCACTGCTTTACATAAAGCACTTCTAATTCTTGCTCTAATTCCCCGTTTTCCACTGAAAGTGACTGAGCCTGAGAGATTAAACTCATCTAAGACAAAATCACTTGTAAGAGGAAGAGAATTTGCACCGAAGCCTGTTGATGCTGAATCCTAGAACCCCAGCATCTGCTGTCTGTACTGTTTCACATCTTCAGGCTTTTCACAGTCCCTGACCTCAGGTCTTGCCTTCCCCTCTCCTCCAGGCCAAATTCTAGCCGCATTGCAGTCACCCACTCTTAGCAGAGCCTGGTCCTTCAAAGAAGCAGCTGAAACAATCGTGTTACTATAGTAGACTTCTTAAGAAAAAGCAAAGCTTTGGTGAGAAAGAGACACTGGGCAAGAAGAAGACTGCAAATCAGGAGAGTGGAATGCAAACGAACATGCCAATTCTTCTTAGATTCATTTACAATCAGCAAAGCAGACGGATGGCATCAGGGTCTACAGGACTTTGATTCCTTTCCAAAGAACCCTAAAAAGCAGTGGCAACTTCCACAAACCTTGTTTTGGAATATCTTCGATGCCAACTTGTAATGCTGCATTATCATACGAAATGACTCGGAACTTTTGGAGACAAAGAGCAACATGTGATTCAGGATGTTCAATTCGTAAATCAGATCCCTATTCTGAAATTAAAAAGAAAACAAGTCATTCTGTGCACACAGCTACTGCAGCTACCCTCCTCCTGAGACCCTTTGCTCACGGACCTCAGTGTTGTATTCAATGACAAAATCTGTGAGTTGTTCTTTTATGAGTTTATTGAGGATTTGTTTGTTGACATTGTCATTAATAAGCTCCTGGCGGTTCACAATTCTTCCCTTGGACAAAAGAAGAAAAACATTAGAGGGCAGTAGCATCCATGACATAACCACTTAGTAAATGTAAATAGCACAATTTTCACCTTGGATTAAAGGGAAACACCAAGGTAACAGGTTGTGACATATAATCTAGATACTTAATAAATATAGATGTCCGAGCAGACTAACCTGAGGGTGGAATACAGGTATGGGGAAGCCATGAAAATCTCTGGTCTACAGAGCAGGGAGTATAGATGACTGATAGCCCCATCTGCCTTGCTCTGAAATCTTGTCAATGTATTTGTGCTGATGCTGAGCAGTTTTTCACACACTGCTCCTAACCAATGAATTTTTCAAGGATACCAAGGCAAGCCCATTTCTGGGAGATGCAGGACTTTTCTTGTGGAGGACTTTGATGAATTTAGGATTACACTGTAATCAAAGACTTCCATTTCACCTTCCTTCCTTCCAAGGGTCAGATCTGCATCATGGTCTGATAAGTTTCCCCAGCTCCCTCTCTGTTTTGCTTCACAGGCATTCCCCCTAATATTTGCATGACTAATCCTGCTTGATGACTGCTTCTCAGAAGGACCTGGATTAACACAGGAAATTATATAAATTCTCTGTAGCACAGGATCAAAGTCTGTGGGGGAAGGAGAAAAAAGTAACTATCTCCTTATTTCTCTCTACTCCATCTCCTTCTCTACATCTATACCAATTCCAACCTGTAGTCCATACATATTTCCTGGGCTCCTACAATAGTTTCCTAATAGCCTTCCAACTTATTCCCCTGCTTCCCTTAAATCTGTCCCCTAAAGTTCAGCCAGTGATGTTGTTAAAATGCGACTCGTTCTTTTTTTTGGGGGGGTCCCCATTTATTTTTATTAGTTTGAGGCTAATTACTTTACAATATTGTAGTGGTTTTTGCCATACATTGACATGAATTAGCCATGGATTTACACATATTCCCCATCCCAATCCTCCCTCCCACCTCCTCCCCACCCCATCCCTCTGGGTCTTCCCGGTGCACCAGCCCCGAGCACTTGTCTCATGCATACAACCTGGGCTGGTGATTTGTTTCACCCTTAATAATATACATGCTTCTATGCTGTCCTTTCAAGACATCCCACCCTCGCCTTCTCCCACAGAGTCCCAGAGTCTGTTCTGTACATCTGTGTCTCTTTTTCTGTTTTGCCTATAGGGTTATCGCTACCATCTTTCTAAATTCCATATATATGCATTAGTATATTGTATTGGTCTTTATCTTTCTGGCTTACAGAAGGAACATACCTCAGCATAATAAAATCTATATATGACAAACCCACAGCAAGCATTACCCTCAATGGTGAAAAATTGAAAGCATTTCCCCTAAAATCAGGAACAAGACAAGGGTGTCCGCTCTCACCACTATTCAACATAGTTTTGGAAGTTTTGGCCACAGCAATCAGAGCAGAAAAAGAAGTAAAACGAATCCAGATAGGAAAAGAAGAAGTGAAACCCACTGTTTGCAGATGACATGATCCGCTACATAGAAAACCCTAAAAACTCTACCAGAAAACTACTAGAGCTCATCAACGAATATAGTAAAGTTGCAGGATATAAAATTAACGTGACTCTTTCTTAAACATAAGCCCTGTTGTCCTCTAGATAAAGCCTACACTCCTGTCTGGTCATAATAGCAGTTTAATAATACTAATTAAACTTACGGAGAGCTCAAGTTGTACCAGCCACAGTTCTGAACATGTTGTATGTATTAACTCACTTAATCCTCATAACATCTCATTAAGCCATATACTATTATTTTGCCCATTTTATAGTTGAGAACATTGAGGCACAGAGGAGTGAAGTGACTTGCCTGGGGTTGTTAAGCTAGATGTGGAGCTAAGTAAGATGTGGAGCCAAAATTCCAGTTCAGGCAATCTGACTCTAGTGCCCATGTTCTTAACCATTAACATAGACCAAATCTCTCCTAAATGCAATGCCAAGTTTGCTGTTTTGTTTTTGATTTTGTGACTGGGTTTGTTCTTCAGAGGGCTTCCCTGGTAGCTCAGCTTGTAAAGAATCTACCTGCAATGTGGAAGACCTGGGTTTGATCCTTGGGTTGGGAAGATCCCCTGGAGAAGGGAGCAACTACCCACTCCAGTATTCTAGCCTGGAGAATTCCATGGACTGTGTAGTCCACGGGGTTGCAAAGAGTTGGACATGACTGAGTGACCTTCACTTATTCTTCAGAATTTAACATTTTTTTGTATGGTCCAAATTTATCAGTGGTTTCTTTTCGTATTTTCTAGGGTTTCTGTCATGCTTCATAAAGGGACTCTTCCCCTCCCTCCAAGGTTAGAAAGCAAATTCTTCTATGGCATTTCTAGCCTTTCAACTAGTTTCATTGTTATATTTTTAAATTAGGGGCCAATCTGAAATTTAATTTGGTAGCAGGAATGACATGGATTTAGCTTTAGCTTTCTTTTTTCAAATGGCTACCCAATTCTCTCAATGCTAGTCACTGAATAACATAGTCTGCCTACTAGTCTAAAATATCATCTTTATTAAATACTAAATTTCAGTATGCATTTGGATCTACTTTTGGACTCTATGTTGGAAGAGTCTGGACTCTCCATTCAAAAACACAAATCCGGTTATTTTATTCTCTAGCTTGGAATCTTTCAGTGACTTCCATGGGCCTAAGTAAAACATAGTGGCTCACAGTCTTCCCTATGAGAAGTCAACCAGCATCTGGATCATTTCATCTACTTCCTGTGTGGCCTCGAGCAAGTAACCTAACCTCTCTGAGCCATGTCTTTAAGTTATATGGTTATTGTAAGGATTTAGTGTTGTGTAGGGAGGGAATAAATCATATTCCAGGAACCAAACTACAGAATCTAAAGTGACACTTCAGTAGAATTTTCTGAGATGATGGATTTGCTCTGTAAATCAATGATATTAAATACAGTAGCCACTATCTGCTAATAGCTAGATTGATTGAAGAACTAAAATTTCAATGTTAAAATAAATAGTCACATGTGACTAGTGGTTGCTGTAGTGAACAGCTCAGATCCAGATCCCAGAGAGGGAGAGGAGGAAAGTTTGTAATAGAGGTTAGACTGTGGAAAGCCTTGAGGGCCGCATCAAAAACTCATATTTATCCTAAAAATTATAGGAAGCTGTTAAAGGGCTTTCAATTAGAAGGAGAAAAATAGCAATCAGATTTTAATTTTGAAAAGATATCTCTTTAGAGGATGAGCTAAAATGTGGTAGACCAGTTGATTGTATGTTGCACTAGGCTGTGGGATATGAATGGTCACTTGATTTATGATGGTAGCAGTAGAAAGAAGTGGATAGATTCATGGAATATTTTAAATTTAAAAATCAATGGGAAGTGGCCGAAATAGCTCAGTTGGGAGAGCGTTAGACTGAAAAATCAATGGGATTGGGATGATGGATTGGTTAGGAGGGATGGAAAAGAGGGAGGTATTAGAATGATGCCTAGGTGTTCTGATTCTGTTTACAGAGGAGTTGGGAGTGATGGTGACATCTCACTATGAGATGATCGCATTTCCCTAGGATTCATGATGTTGAACATTTGTATTGTGTTCATGTGCCATGTGTATGTCTTCTTTGATAAAAATGCCTATTTTTATTTATAACTGAGAAGATAATAAAAGAAATGTTTTTGAACTTCACTTTTCTTTAGTGACTGCTGGGTGGAATAAATGTTTCTGCTATTCACAAAAAGAGAGAGAAAATACCAGAAGAGGATTTGGAAGGGAGATCATGACTTTAGGCTTGACCATGTTGAGACATCTGGTGATGGATTTAAAGGTCTGTAGATTAGAGATGTCTGGCTGGAGATGGAGATTTGTAAATCATGGGTATATGGATTGATGGGGAAGCTTGGAAGGACAGAAGAAAATGCAGGGCAGAAGACTGAGGCTTAATTAATGGCATTTACTGGTTAAGGAAAGGAGGCGCTCCCAATGGGAAGTGGCTGGAAAGGTCAGAAAGATGTCTAGAGACTGATTTCCCAGAAACCAACTGGTCAATACCACTTAGTTCACAAGTGCAGAACCAGAATTTACACCCAAAGCCCATGCATGGTTCATGATTTTGAACTAGAGACCCCTCACTAGCAATAAAACTCAAGTCTTACCTTTTTGAACACTATAACACTGTCAAGGGTGACATGGTAACGCCCAATGGCATGTCTAATCGATATCGCTCCAAACGTTAGCTCTGGAAAGTCTTTGATCATATCATAGAACAGCTCTGCTACTTCTTCCTCTAAGTCCTATTTGGGGAGAGATGTTTGATGAGGCTTCGACAGAAAGCAAAATGTCTGGCAATTTTAAGGACAGGGTGAAAACGGTGACTAACTCATCTCTTCACCTTTCCAAGTTCTGTGGTTTTGGTAGGCTACCTAAATCCACCTTCATGGATGTTTCATACCCAGAATACGTCTATGGCTATGCTGCTGCTGCTGCTGCTGCTAAGTTGCATCAGTTGTGTCCGACTCTGTGCGACCCCATAGACGGCAGTCCACCAGGCTCCTCTGTCCCTGGGATTCTCCAGGCAAGAATACTGGAGTGGGTTGCCATTTCCTTTTCCAATCCACGAAAGTGAAAAGTGAAAGTGAAGTCGCTCAGTCATGTCCAACTATTTGCGATACCATAGACTGCAGCCTACCAGGCTCCTCCATCCATGGGATTCTCCAGGCAAGAGTACTGGAATGGATTGTCATTGCCTTCTCCTCTGTGGCTATGACTAAGGCCCAAATAGGCAAATCCACAGAGATAAATAGAGAGAATTGATAAACTTGACATTTTCCAAGTATGAGGGTGAAGGCTGTACTAACACAGTTGTTGAGACTTGTTATTAATAACATTTAGGCCTTAAATGGGCTTCCCTGGTGGCTCAGATGATAAAGAATCTGCCTGCAAGGCAGGAGACCTGGTTTCAACCCCTGGGTTGAGAAGATCCCCTGGAGGAGGGTATGGCAACCTAATCCAATATTCTTGCCTGGAGAAACCCCATGGACAGAAGAGCCTGGCAGACTACAGGCAGTGGGGTTGCAAAGAGCTGGACACAACTGAGCAACTAAGCATACATGCACACACAGTCCTTAATTGCCTTCAGAAGATTAAACATGTGATTAAACATGTGATTAAACATGTAGTAGCAAATATGAACTTCATATTAAGATATGACTGTAGTTTCAGCCTGCATTCTTTAGCTTGAAAGAAAATTGCAGCCAAAAACAATGTCAAAATGCAATATGGGAGAGAAAAAAAAGTAGAAATTCTCCCCCTGTATAACTATAACCCCAAAGTTCTGATTTCTGCTCAGAAAAAGGGAGGAGTCATCAAAGTTATAGGAAATGAGCAAAGGTGTATAAGAAACTCATTCTCCAAAAGCAAGGGCAATTTGAAAATCATTTATTATTCGTTGATGTTCTAAGTGGACCTCAAAAAGATCAGTTATGCTATCAAAACCAGTTCAAAATATATTAATCTTCTCTTCTCTCTCCCCATTACTGTCTGCCTTTGTGGTTAGCTCCTCCTGCCATTTCAGCTTCCACTTTTTCTTTATTTTTTATCCTTCCAGTTTTCCCAGAAAACCACTCATTGAAAAAGGAAGAATGGGCATGGAATTAACCTAAATGGAAGACCTCTCTTCACCCCACCCTCCCTCCCAGACACAGGAATCCTTAGCAACTGAGAAGCCACCTCCCAACTCTTGAATGCAGTACCTGGAAGAAACCAACGATGACCAAGGGCCTGGAATTCACAAACTCTGCTATCTCATTGCTGTCAGAGAACAGAAATGCTTTCTGGCTAATTTGTCTTCTCAACCAAACAACCAAGGCAGTAGATTCAACCACTCCTGGAGAGAGAGGTACAATTAAATGGATCCCACAGAAGTTTCCCCTTGAACTGGAGTAAGGCCTGTCTTCTCCAAGTTAAATGAGTAGAAACCTCTTGCCTTAGATTCCCACCCCTTGAAAGCCAAGGTCAATTCTTCCTCTCTTCCTCAACCTGACGCCCAAGGATGTAAACTTTAATAACAACTAAATTTTACCAAACACTTACCAAGGACCAGGCACTGTGCTGAGCATTTTGCATGTATTAAGGTTACTATGGTAATAGTAATAGTTAATAGTAATGGGATACATATTGAAGTTTCAACTTGCTATTGGCCACCCCACTAGTGAACCTGGGAATCAAACCCAGGAGGAAGCATGCCCAGCGTGCTTTCTTATTCACCGTTCAAAGTGAAAGGAAGATGGATTTATTTTTTTAAACATAAAAATTTTAAAGGTAAATAAAAAGACCAGCTAGTTCTGCACCCTCAGGAAAATTCCATTATCTCCCTGTGTCTCCCATTCCTTAGCTGAGACATGGATGTCCTCTCAGGTCATCGATCCTGACTTCCATTTCTCAGCTATCATATAGGAAATGCCAAGCATACAGAAAGCTTCTAAAATTGAGACACATCTACCTATCTGGGAGACATAATAGTCTGCCAAAATGTACACAAGGCTACAAATGGACTGTGCTTGCTAAGATCATCTATGTTATATGATGGCAGGTAATTAAAATATTTTCTGTCAAAGACTGTTATAGAATAGAATGGATCATTTAAAATGAATTTATGAGCTAGAGCAATGTTAGTTGTGAGTTGCTTTGTATGACATAAAAAGGCCTTTATTCCTTCTCTCATGATTCATTCCCTCACTCATTCATTCATTTGATAAATATGCATTGGAGTGCCATGTTAGAGTGCTGTGTTTGGCCCTGGGGATAAAATGGTGAACAGGAATAAGACCTTGCCTCTGCTATGCAGCTCTCACTCTGTTAAGGAAGATAATTGTCAAATAACTGCATTAAAAAGTATGTGATCACATCCTAAGTTAGCATTAAAAAGCAAAATTCTGTGGACCAGTAGAAAAGATACATGACCTACACTGTGAAGTTGAGGAGGAAATCCTGGAGGAAATCCCTTATGAGCTAAAAACTGAAGGATACATAGGAGTTAACAGGAAGCAGCTAGAAAAGGAAAGGCAGAGAAAACAGGCTGTGCAAAGGCCCTGTGGCAGGAGAAATTGCAGCCTGGGGCTTGAGGAATGCACACTAAGTTGCTAAATTGTCTGATAAAGACGTTATTGTTAAATTGACAGAAAAGGGCACTAAGGGTCTTTACTTACCTTTCCTAAGAACATTAGGCCTTTAAAAAATCTCTAAAGTATGTTTACGTGGAGAAAGGTACACAAATTATAATATACAGTTTGACAAATTTTCATAAAATGAACAGACATGTGCAAATACCACCCAGATAAAGAAATAGAAAATTATCAGCTCCTTAGAAGTCCCTATGTGCCCCCTCCCAGCCTCTACCCTACTCTCACCTAGAAGTAACTAGAAGTGACAATTATCCTAGCTTCTAACAGCTTGTTCTTGAACTGCATATAAACAGAGTCACACAGTATGTGTTTGAGATTCTGGCTTCATTGCACATGTGAGATTCCTCCATGTTGTACTTTGAGATTCATTCCCACTGCTGTGTAGCACTCTGTTATGTGAATGACTTATTTATCCATTCCTTATTAATGCGCACTTGGTTTGTTTACAGGTTGGGGCTGTTAAGAATTAATTCTTGGGCATGTCTCCAGGGGCACATTATATGCACTTCTGTTGGGTACATGCCCAAGAGAAGAATTTCTGGTCATGGGAACACAATGTCCAGCTTCAGTAGATACAGATTAGGCTATTAAAAAAGTCACGGTGAGTCAGGCCTCTGAAAGTTCATAAGAGGATGATGTGGTAGTTCCAAGGGACAGAGTGGGTGGGGAGACATTATGTCGTCCTCAGACCATGGTCAGACTCACAGCAGTCATCCCCCTCAACCCAGATACCAGCCTGAGGTTAAGATTCTATTTTCACAGTGGTCCAAGCCATCTTTTAGGAAGAAAGAGCCTCACATCATGGGGGGAAAAAAAAAAAAAACCTTTCTCCTAAAGGCTTTGCCTGAAAAAGTTATTTTTTTAAGTGACCTGAAAGAAATTAGCTTAGACATTCTGAAAATACCAAAAAAGGTGAATAAAATCCCTCCAAACGAGTTTGCACTTCAGGTCATCAGAACCCTTGCTCTGATCTCCCTCTGTGCTACCTTCTCCCTGAGTCCACACTCCAGTCATACACTTGCCTTCTAGCATCCTGGGCTTGGCATCCCCCAGTCCCTCTGCCTGGGCTGTCCTTTCCTCTCAGCTCTCAAGTGCATCTCATCCGGCCTATTTAATCCTCAGTTTGGTCTTTTCCTACTCTCCTTTCAATCATTCTCTGTATTATGACCTGTTGTATTTTCTTCATTGAATCTGATTTCTGAGGTTATGAGTTTTTGCTAAATTTCTCAGTAGGTCCTGAGGGAGAACAGAATATGCCACCTCCAATTCTCCTACTTTGGCATACTATTTTGAATTAAAGGTACTTGAGAAACAGCCTGTGCAAAAAAGATGTTCTGACTCTTCCTTATCCCTCTGAAAGCAGGAAATAAATCTCCCATGTGGCGGTACCATCCCAATACTAGCAGGATAGATGACATCCTTATTACCACTCATAGGGATTTAAGGTCAAGGAGGCTATATAAACAAGCCTGGTTACTTCCTCACTAATTTTCTTCCCCAAGCCCCAACCCCTTTTTTCTTGTCAATTCTTCACAACTTTATTGTTTCTTTGTCTAAAAGATATAAAATCTAACTATTTTGATCACTTCTTTTTAGCCTCAAATCTTTGGGACTCCTGTACGTATGAAATTAATTTTTCTTTTGTTAATCTCTCTTATGTCAATTTAATTATTAGACCACCCAAAGAACCTAGAAGGGAAGAAAGGAAAAGTTTTCCTCCCCCTAAATCTTGTGATGTCTGGTTCATAATAGGTGCTCAGGAAATCATGGGATGAATGAACGAGGTGAATGAATCATTAGACAACTCTGTTTGAGGGAACTTGATCTTGAACCCTCTTCTCTGGGATGGATGAACTCCACTTGGCCCCCTGGACCCCATGGGACTGAGATAGCTCTGAACCTGGCAAACAGTTTGTTTTTGAGTGTTGGGCACTGTCCCTGCTATGCGGGTGCCTTTCCTGTTGCTCGGCTCTGAGCCAGAGGACACAGTGACAACTGAGGTGTGAATGTTGTGTCAATAATTAACTGGGGCCGTCACACTGCTGCATATTTCCAGGCACAAGCTGTTAATGCATCATTAATTGAGGGCCTGGAGGCAGCCTGAGTCTCCCTCCCTCAAAGGAGATGGTCAAAGCCAAGTCTCCTACCATCAGTCCTTGGAGACCAGAGGAGAACCTGAATTTGACTCAACAAGGACTAAACCCAACCTGCATCTGAGGGAAGTTTTCATAGAAGTCACAGTGTAAGAGGCCAGTAAAGTACCATCACCCGCTTGGCTCAGGAAGTCCTGTCAAGTGGCAGAATTGGCACAAGTCATTCTTTTTAGGAAATGACAGATCAAGGCTGCCTCAAGTTTTCACAGCTAGTGCTAATCCTAAAATCCGGGCCCTGACTGCATCCCAGTATCCCATTGCCTCTTTCCATGGCTAAGGGTCATAATGAGAAAGGAGATGGTTAAGCCTAGTACAAATTAGAGCTGGCTTATTTACTCCAAGCCTACTGCGGTGGGGACCTTCTAATACCACCCCATTCAAACACAAAATATGCATTAAAACCCTAAGCATTCCAGGCCCTGGACTAGGGTCAGAAAAGTAATAGTCTGAGGATAATAATAACCACATTCTTTAAACTGTGGTTTTGGAGAAGACTCTTGAGAGTCCGTTGGACTGCAAGGAGATCAAACCAGTCAATCCTAAAAGAAATCAACCCCAAATATTCATTGGGAGGACTGATGCTGAAGTTGAAGGTCCATTACCTTGGCCACCTGATGCGGAGCGAAGTCATTAGAAAAGACCCTGATGTGAGTAAAGATTGAAGGCAGGAGGAGAAGGAGATGACCAAGGATGAGATGATTGGATGGCATCGCTGACTCAATGGACATGAGTTTGAGCAAGCTCTGGGAGTTGATGATGGACAGGGAAGCCTGGTATAGTGCAATCCATGGGGTCACAGAGTTGGACACGACTGAGTGACTGAACAACAATAATAACCACATCTGCCATTTACTTAGAGGACAGAACAATATGCAGGAAGGATCTGTCAACTATAGCCCATGGGCCAAATCTGACCAGCCATCTAATTTTATGTTATTTTTATTGGGACAGAGCCACATCTGTTTGTTTGTGTATGGCTCCTTTTTCAGAGCATCAGCAGAGTTAAATTGTTTCAACAGAGACTGGCCTGTAAAGCCTGAAATATTTACTTTCTGGTCCTTTAGAGAAAATGGTTGTGAATCTCACTGCTTATTAGCTGGGGAGCCTTGAGAGTTATTCCTCTCTCTGCACCTCAGTTTCCCCACCTGTAGAAGCACCTCCTACACTGTCATGACATCTGAGAGGGGCCTAGAACAGTATCTGCAACACAGTGAATGCTTCAGACATGTGCATTTATCTTTCTTCCCAAGAACCCTCCGAAGTAGATATCTTCGCAATCCATACTTCACAGATGAAGAAATCAGAATTTGATGGGAGGGAGTGGCTACTCCTCAGGTACATAGTGAGGATTTGAAGTCACAGTGTCAACCAGCTCTGGTAGCCTTTTCAGAAACCCCAGGAAAGGAGGTGAGATTGGGTTCTGTCCTGTGCTCTCAGGTGAGAGGTAAGATCTTTGAGAAGGAAGGACAGGTACTGTGGGACCACAGAAACGGGGCAGGCACCATGACCCAGGCAATCAGGGGAGACTTCCTGGAGGAGGTGATGGTGACACTTCCTGAATGACGAGGAGGTTCCAGGCACTGGCTCCCAGCACAAAGAGGGTTCAGACAGTCTGGAAGTGGCTATGCTATAACCTTTTTACCCTTAAGTGGAGTTGGACCTCACCTGTCCTTTAGGATATGAGGGCATCCCAAGAGGCTGAGTAACTCCATGAGCAGATATGTACTTTAACAAAGTAACTTTGGGCTTTTATTTTTTTCACAGCCCTCCTCTGAACCAACACATCACAAAGGGCTCCTCACTTAGGTCAGGGGGTAGCCATGGAGGGTTATCAATGCATAGGAAGCAGCAGTCTTTACTGTTTCTCTCACTCCTTTCCTCTCTCCTCATCTCTTTCTCTTCTTACTCCCTCATGCACCACCCTCCTACAAACCAGCTGGGAGGAGGCTCCGTCTTCTATGCAATCTGCCCTGAGGCAGGCTCTTGTGCAAGTCCGGCCTGTGTGTCTCATACTCTGTGTCCGTTCTGAGAGCCGCAAGGCAGCCTGCAGCCCCTGCACATGGTGGCCTCTCCACTCCGCCCCTTTGGTTCTTGCAACCACCCTCAAATAGGATTTTTGCAAACATGCTGAATGCTGGGCCCTGCAAAAGACAGGCTCAGTTTTCTGTGATTCAATCATTCAACGTATACAATGGGAACACTCTACTAATATAGGAAGCGTTGTGTTGGGCATTTCTGTGTTCATCAGTTTTATTACATCCATCTATCCATTTATCTACACATTCAGTTCAGTTCAGTTGCTCAATCATATCCGACTCTTTGCGACCCCATAAACAACAGCAAGCCAGGTCTCCCTGTCCATCACCAACTCCCAGCATCTACCCAAACTCATGTCCATTGAGTTGGTGATGCCATTCAGCCATCTCATCTTCTGTCGTCCCCTTCTCCTCCTGCCCTCAATCTTTCCCAGCATCAGGGTCTTTTCAAATGAATTAGCCCTTCGCATCAGGTGGCCAAAATATTGGAGTTTCAGCTTTAACATCAGTCCTTCCAATGAACACCCAGGACCGATTTCCCTTAGGATGGACTGGTTGGATCTCCTTGCAGTCCAAGGGACTCTCAAGAGTCTTCTCCAACACTACAGTTCAAAAGCATCAATTCTTCTGCACTCAGCTTTCTTTATAGTCCAACTCTCACATCCATGCATGGCCACTGGAAAAACCATAGCCTTGATTAGACGGACCTTTGTTGACAAAGTAATGCCTGCTTTTTAATATGCTGTCTAGGTTGGTCATACCTTTCCTTCCAAGGAGCAAGAATCTTTTAATTTCATGGCTGCAGTGACCATCTGCAGTGATTTTGGAGCCCAACAAAATAAAGTCTGTCACTATTTCCATTGTTTCTCCATCTATTTGCCATGATTGATGGGACTGGATGCCATGATCTTAGTTAGTTGAATGTTGAGTTTTAAGTCAACTATTTCACTCTCCTCTTTCACTTTCATCAAGAGGCTCTTTAATTCTTCTTCACTTTCTGCCATTATGGTGGTGTCATCTGCGTATCTGAGGTTATTGATATTTCTCCTGGCAATATTGATTCCAGCTTGTGCCTCATCCAGCCTGGCATTTCACATGTTATCTGCATATAAGTTGAATAAGCAGGATGACTATATACAGTCTTGATGTACTCTTCTCCCAATTTGGAACCAGTCTGTTGTTTGTTCCATGTCCAGTTCTAAGTGTTTCTTCTTGACCTGCATACAGATTTCTAAAGCAGGCATCCATCTCTTTAAGAATTTTCCACAGTTTGTTGTGATCCACACAAAGTAGATGTCTTTCTGGAACTCTCTTGCTTTTTTGATGATCCAACAGATGTTGACAGTTTGATCTCTGGTTCCTCTGCCTTTTCTAAATCCGACTTGAACATCTGGAAGTTCACAGTTCACATACTGTTGAAACCTGGCTTGGAGAATTTTGAGCATTACTTTGCTAGTGTGTGAGATGGGCGCAATTGTGCGGTAGTTTGAGCATTCTTTGTGATTGCCTTTCTTTGGGTTTGGGATGAAAACTGACCTTTTCCAGTCCTGTGGCCACTGCTGAGTTTTCCAAATTTACTGGCATGTTGAGTGCAGCACTTTCACAGCATCATCTTTTAGGATTTGAAATAGCTCAACTGGAATTCCATCACTTCCAGTAGCTTTGTTCATAGTAATGCTTCTTAAAGCCCACTTGACTTCACACTCCAGGATGTCTGGCTCTAGGTGAGTGATCACACCATCGTGGTTATCTGGCTCTTGAAGATCTTTTTTGTATAGTTCTTCTGTGTATTCTTGCCACTTCTTACTATCTTCTGCTTCTGTTAAATCCATATAGTTTCTCTCCTTTATTGTGCCCATCTTTGCATGAAATGTTCCCTTGGTGTCTCTAATTTTCTTGAAGAGATTTCTAGTCTTTCCCATTCTATTTTTTCCCTCTGTTTCTTTGCTTCGTTCATTTAGGAAGGCTTTCTTGTTTCTCCTAGCTATTCTTTGGAACTCTGCATTCAAATGGATATATCTTTCCTTTTTCCCCTTTACCTTTAGCTTCTCCATATATTTAACACTTTTTAAAAATTAAGACCTATTATGTATCACACTGAGGCACAAAATTCTTCAAAATTCCCCTACATTAAGATAGGGCTTGAGGGATTTCTCAGATGGTCCAGGGGCTAAGACTCTATGCTCCTAATACAGGGAGCCTGGGTTCAATCCCTGGTCAGGGAACTAGATTCCACATGCCACAACTAAAATCCAGTGCAGCCAAATAAATAAAAATAAATGAATATTTTTAAAAGGTGGGGCTTGGTACATGTTAGGTTCTTAATGAAAAGGTATGGAATAAGTGGGTGAATGAGTTAATGAAATGGATGGTGACAGAAGCTTTAGCTTCTAGTTTAGTAGTCACCCTGTTCCACACTCACCCTGTTCTAGCACCTCCCAGTTTCCCTTTTGATCAGTCAGTGCTTCCTTGGCTGAGACCGCATCAAGATCATTCTAAAGTGGAAGAGTGCAGTGGGAGTGGGGAGTTAGGTAAGCTGGAAACTCACTCTGGTCTTTTTAGTTTAGAAACCATGTACCTCAATGCGCCATCTCGTGTGCCTCCAGGGCCCACCAGCTCAGATATGGTAGAAGTAAGTACATGTCCACCAAAATCTATTTTTTTCCTTATGGTCATAGAGCAGGGCCATATTTCAGCCTTTCAGTTGGGTGGAGCCACATAGCAGAATTCAGGTCAATGGGATGAGAATAGAAGTGATATTCACCACCTCCAGGTCTGGGCTATGGACCCTGCTGGTGGCACTCCTCTGCCTCCCAGCACCAACTTCTGGCCAGACCCAGAGGGAACAGCCAGAGAATCGGAGGTCCTGGGGGAGGACAGTGCCACAGGCTGAAAGGGACTGGGTCCTTGAAAGATTGTGTGGACCAGAAGCCCCACCACCAACCTTGCTACAACTGGGTTCAGTGCAAGCAAGACATAAACTTATAATTCTGTTAAGCCACTGAAATACAGATTTTTGTGTTTCCATAGCTAGCATTCCTTTGATTGACACACGAATACCATTACCTTGGCAGCTGATGGGCTGTGATCTGTTGCCCTCAAAAAACAGCTTCAACTCTGGGGCCGTCTTGACATCAAACTCCTTCCGAAGTTCCTTCTCAACTGTGATGTCCACTTTGCCAAAGCCAATCCCATTCTTGCCTTTGCCCATGATCTCCACGGCTTTGCCCAGCTCCTCAGCTAAGCTCCTGGATTGCTTTGAGGATGGGTTATCTGAAAGAGCCAATAAGAAGACAGAACTCACTAGAACCTCTCCTCCATCCCATCTCCCAAGGAGGAGGCTTTGTTAAGTTTAAGCCTTTGTTAAGGCTTTTTTTAAAAAGTTAAGACCTGCTTAACTCCTGGGTTTTTATCATGCTCCAAGGCTAATGGGTAGATTCAGAAATGTGACAGGATATCACAGTTCATGAAACTGATCAGTTTGGGAGATATGAATCAGGTTTTTTTGGGGTTCAGCAACACTGGAAACAATACAACTTTGGGCAATTTAATTTCTTAAAGACCCACATGCCTCATCAATAAAGTGGGGAAATAGTGGTTGCTTTGTGAAGCTGAGTCAAAAGATTTAACAATCAATCATATACTGCTTATTACTTTCTAAGAGGTTTATGGGGATTAAGCCACTGAATCCTCCTAGTACGCCTATGGGGTGTGTGTGCGTGTGTGTGTGTGTGTGTGTGTGTGTGTTAGATGCAATCAGTTATGTCTGACTCTTTGAAACCCCATGGACTGTAGCCCCCTCTGTCCATGAGATTTTCGAGGCAAGAATACTGGGGTGGGTTGCCATTTCCTTCTCCAGGGGATCTTCCTACCCAGGGATCGAACCTGGGTCTCTCACATTCCAGGCAGATTCTTTACCATCTGAGCCACCAGCGAAGCTTCTCTGGTGGTAGGTATAGCTATTATTTATTATCTCACTGTGACAGAGGAGGAAACTCTTGCATGATTGAAATGACTTATTTGCCCAAAGCTGCATGGCAATAGGAGGATCAGCAGGATGGGACTCACTCTCTCTGACTTGGGGGCTTGCTCTCTAACCTCCACTGGGCCTGTCCTTAGCATCAGGCCTGGCACTTGGTCAGTTTATAATGCCTTCTTATTACTACTGTTATTAGGGTAAAAATTCTATCAGAAATCATAGTAGAGGGAGAGAGAGTGAGAAGGAGCGGGGTGAGAGGAGAGAGAGAAGTGGGTGGGTGGGGCATGGAGAGAGAGGGAGAATGAGCACCATCTGGTGGAAGTTCCTGGAGCTAACAGGACAGGTTCTGCACCTTCATTTGCCCTGTATCTGCATGTAATGTGGCAGGGGACATGCTTGTGAAAAGGAGGCCAGATGTGAGAAGGGTAAGGGGATGGGGGGAGGTTATGATGACCCCCTATCCACCCAGCTCATCTCCTTGGTCCAGAGTGTTGAAGAAACCTGACACTATTGATCAGGATTCCTTGGCCTCTCACATTGCTGGGCAGTGGGCTAGAAGAAGTGAGGGGCCCTTTTCTGGAAAGAGCCCCAGGGGCCTAGCATGCGATCGCAGCAGCAGTAGAAGACTTCCTGGCCTAAATGGGAGGGGCTGAAAGGCAATCACATTTGTCTCCCTTCCTCCTGACAATGTCATGAGACTGTAGGCCCCTTGCTGGCTCTCACAGCCCAGTGTCTGCAGCAGGGGGGGTTGAGCCAGGGCAGGGGGTCATTGATTCCCTTTTAAGCCAGAATGCTTTATATTCCTCAAACTCCTTTGTCCATCTGGAGCACTTAAAACCAGTGCAAGTCACTTCCACTGCCATGGGCAAGTTCCAAGTACAAGAGAGAGCGCTTTTGTAAAGCAAAACCCAGAAAGCCAGGCCTGGGACAACTGGCACATGCCCCATTGCCAGTCAGCACACTGCTCCGGTGATGGAACCCAAATGTGAATGATCACTTTCATTAAACTCTCAATCAATGGACAGGAAGTGTGACCTTTCGCCTCCCTTGTAGAGTGCCTGTCCACTGCCTGCTTTGTCACCAGCATTGCCTTCGACACCCCATCCCTCACCACCAGCAGGGGTTGGCCTGTTGCTAGCAGCTCTGGCCTTCAGGCCTCTCCTCTGGCTTCCTCATGGATTTGGCCATGCCTGACTCAGGACTGCTGATAGACATAACATCCAAATCTGAGTTTCTAAGCGTGGGACAAGAGAAACACTTGGAATGATGGTCCAAACATTGGAGTTTTTGAGGTTCCACCCATAGCCCAGTGCTTTTTGGTGTCTAGCATGGAAGTTAGAGAAAGAGACTGTGACCACTGGGGCGTGAGAGTTGGATGGATGGGACCTACTAGTTACAGTAATGGGATTCATTCATTCACTCATCTGACAAATCTTTTTTAGAATCTCCCATGTGCCAGGAAGTATTTTAGGTATTGAGAACTTAACAATGAACAGACTGATAAAAATCACTGCTCTCATTGAAAAAGGTAGACAGTAAAGAAACAGGCTATATTCTATGCTAGATGCTAAGTGCTATGGAGAAAAAACAAACAGATATGGAAGTTGGGAATGTCTGGGAATGGAGTTTAAGTCGGGAGGTAAAAGGAGGTCTCACTGAGAAGAGGATGGAACATTTTAATAAATACTGAAGAAGATGAGGAAGCAAGCTGTGTGCTCACTCACAGGAGAGAGAGAGTTCCAGGCAAAGGAGCCATATGAGCAAAGGCCTTGAAGTAAGAGAACATCAACATGTCTGAGGGATGACAAGAAGTCCATTGGGTCTGGAGCAGAATAAACTGGGATGAGGTCAGTTGATATAGGCCTTGTAGACCACTGAATAGACTTTGGTCTTTCCTCTGAAGCTTGTGGAAATGTGCTAGAGGGTTTGGAGCAGTGTTAGATGTGATGACTTACATTTTTACTGGATTGTTTTGAACGTTACATGGAGATTAGACGACAGAGAAAAAAGGAGGCCAGCTGGAGGCCACTGTAATAATCCAGGTAAGAAATGCTAACGGCTTGAATCAGGAGAGGGTGAGAAGTGGTCAGAGCCTCGACGGGCCTTGAAGCAGGAACTGACAAGGTTTATTGATGGATTGGAGGTAGAATGTAAATGAAAGAAATCAAGGATGACTCTGACATTTTGACCTGAGCAACCAGAAGGATGAAGATAGTGATGATGATGCTAATGATTGTGATGATGATGGTGGTATTGATAACAAGATAACAGCATTTATTGGTCACTTACTATGCCAAGTACTTTGCTAAAAGCTGTGTGCTCACTCACAGGAGAGAGAGAGTTCCAGGCAAAGGAGCCATATGAGCAAAGGCCTTGAAGTAAGAGAACATCAACATGTCTGAGGAATGACAAGAAGTCCATTGGGTCTGGAGCAGAATAAACTGGGATGAGGTCAGTTGATATAGACCTTGTAGACCACTGAATAGACTTTGGTCTTTCCTCTGAAGCTTGTGGAAATGTGCTAGAGGCTTTGGAGCAGTGTTAGATGTGATGACTTACATTTTTACTGGATTGTTTTGAACGTTACATGGAGATTAGATGACAGAGAAAAAAGGAGGCCAGCTGGAGGCCACTGTAATAATCCAGGTAAGAAATGCTAATGGCTTGAATCAGGAGAGGGTGAGAAGTGGTCAGAAACTCGACTGGGCCTTGAAGGAGGAACTGACAAGGTTTATTGATGGACTGGAGGTAGAATGTAAATGAAAGAAATCAAGGATGACTCTGACATTTTGACCTGAGCAACCAGAAGGATGAAGACAGTGATGATGATGCTAATGATTGTGATGATGATGGTGGTATTGATAACAAGATAACAGCATTTATTGGTCACTTACTATGCCAAGTACTTTGCTAAGTGTTATGTGCATTATCTTGATTAGTCCTCAGAATAAGCCTAGAAGTCATCTACTATTGTAGACAGTCATCTACTATTACAGGTGAGGAATGTTAGATGAGGAAACAGAAACCAAGAAGTCTCGCAGCTAGTAAGCATTAGGCCAAGACTCAGCTCCAAGGCTGGCTGACTCCAAACTCCATGCTCTAACTGACCCTGTAGGCAAGCCAGACTGGAAAAAATACTCTTTTTCCCTGGAGGGGTGAGTTTCCAATCTCCCCTGCTCTGGGTGGTTCACATCAGAGCAGATAGACTCTGGAGAAACAAATATACTTTTTATGTCCAGTCCTGTTCACTAGTTTCTATCTTTTTAAAATTTGCAAATCAGTGTTTACCTCTGAGTCCTTGAATGCCAAGTGTGTAAAGGTAAAATGAATGCATACATCCTCAGGTCTTGGTGACTATGTCTCATGGGGCATGGAGTCAATTCAGCTGTACATTGGAACCTGGGCAAAGCAGTGCCCAGAGGACTGTGGATGGGCGGGGAGCCCTTTGCTGGGAGCTCCTTCAGTTTTAGCCCTCTTCAGGTTCTAACGAGGGTCCATTGTCTGGCACATACTAGATACTCAATGAACATGATTTCCTTGGGTCTCACAAATGAGAGACAGTTATGGTCACTTACAGTACCTGTGGTCCAGGAAAGGTGTTTTTCAAACATCTCTGAACCTTAGCTTCCTCACCTACAGAATGGGGATACCTTAGAATAAGCCTACATAGTAAGCCAAGGTATGCAAAGCTCTGATACAGAAGTGCCCAATAAACATTAAGCATTATGATAACAGGGGGGAAATTCATGGTCTTGCTCTGACCAGATGTTCTCTGGGGAGGAAGGATCCTATGTAGTTTTCAGGATCTTCAGCAAATCTGGTTCCTGGGGAAAGGAAGACAAGGGTGACAAGCCATCCAAAACAAGGCTGAGGCCTATTCTGTGGCTCGCTCGTGGGTTTCGAAGTTGAGCAAATGGCACCCAGGGTCCTGTTAGAGTTGGCAGTGGCTCTCGACAGTGGGCCTAGTGTGTGAATGTGTTAATGGCTAATGGACCTAGAATCAATGTTTGCCTGGGTCTTCAGTAGGTAACCCCATGCTCCCTTTCTGGAGCAGAGGATGTGGGTCAGGGGAGGGGCTGATGGTTGGGGGAGGTGTGAGTGTAGGGACTGGAGATTAGCTCCCGGCACAGGGAGCTGGAGTCTGCCTTTCTTTAGACTGTGGTTCTCAACAGGGCACATTGGGCGCTATCTGGAGACATTATTGGTTGTCACATGTAAATATCCCACAGTGCACAAGACGCCCTCCTCCGCCATCTCACACACACACACACGCACACACACATACATAGAGAGA